GTTGAAGTTCATGATAACCCTCAGACACAGACACCAATTTCTCAGGCTGACTTTTTGTACTCTTTTTTTTCCCTCAGCTGCAGAACTGTTAGGGCTTTGTGTACATCCAGAGAGCAGTAAATGCTTTCTGAATTTAACTGAGTGGCAATATCTTGCCTCTCTGCAAGACAAAGCCTCCAGCTGAGCTCCAAGATCAAAGCACGTGAGACCTGCTAACTCACAACTGCTGTTATCTTCCAGCTCAGCACCAACTCCACTACCTGCCATTCACAGCCAGCCTTAAAGCTCAACATATTGGTTGCTAGTCCCTCCTCTAAACACCTGACTGCCTCAGGCAGACTGCTCCATAAAGGAAGGCAAGTGTGGAGCCAAGAGTCACAGATAGGCATGCAGTGGTGGCAACCTTACTAAAAAGGAGCCAGGAAGTCAAGTCAGCAATTCAGTCAGGATCAGGTCTGGAGACAGTACCAAGATCAGTCACAGTCCAGTGATCATCCAGCAGGTCCCTAGTGATGAGCCAGGTCTGAGGTTAAGTCAAGCCAGCAGGTGAGGATGAGGGTGAGAACCAGGGAGGTACAAGACTGGCAGCAAGCGCAATTGCTCAGGCAGGGGCCAAGCACAAGAATTTCAGGTTTAAAGCCACCCCCAAGTGAAGGAGGGGGAGCTCCCACTGAGGGTCCTTAGCAGCAAGCAACTCCTGGACAAGAGATCTTAGCTGGCCTCTAATCACCAGCTGAAAGGGGTCCTGACAGCCCGTTACTGCAGGCAAGCTCAACAGCCACAAACAGCAAATCCTGTGTTTGAAAAAAAAAGGACAAGCTAGGTACTTACATCTAGGAGATGGTTTTGGCTGGAAAATTCATCTCCCCTAAGGTTTCACATGTAAGCTCGTAAGAATCATGGAAAAGGGGAATTTTAAACACAAACTTTTCTCAGTTGCTTAACTTAGGCTCTACCATTTCAGCTCGCTGGCTGTTGTGAAGTCTGTTCCTGTAAGACAATGATCCTTGTGAACTAATAAACCATGAACTTCATCAACTATGTTCAGATTCCTCTCCTGGTTCTGGCACTTAAAACTTCATCATATCAACACTGACTGCCTTTGTGTGACTCTAGTCCTTACTACACAAGTAAACTGGAGCCACAAAAATACGCAAGTTGGTTAGTCTCTCCAGCATGCACCAAAGGGGCTAGAATCTGTTTAGTTAAGTGATAAAGGGAAGAGTTCAGCAGCCAGCCATTTCTATTTGGATTTAAAAAAAAAAAAAATCTTTAAAATTCAAGGATCTTAAAGACATTAATGAAATATTATTAAATATTTTAAACTCTCTGTAAGGGGATATATTATGTTTGTAATGAAAACCTGTATTCACAAATTTGGATTTTGCAGTCTGAACCTTGGAAGTTTAATTAGAGGCTTGCTAAATTCTGTTTCTGGTACTAAAGTGTGGATTTTATTTAAAAAATCCTGGTTTATGGAAAAAAGAAAGCACTAATAAAAAGTAATTTCATTTGGCAAATCATCGATCTCGTTCATCTCATTGTGTCCAATAAGGTGGAAATAATTACACAAGGTGTTAAAAATCCTTGCTCCCTCTAAGTCATTAGAGTTTTATTCTTGTTTTCTCTAAGTTAGGATTTGATCCCAGTAGTGTAGGGATCAGTTTATATTAATGAATTACAATAGCGATTTTAATTTGATCAAGTTCTATGAGACTACCATTTGATTGCTTCATTCATTGAGGTATCACTGCCAGCCAAAACGCCTCTTTGCCTCTTCGCCTCTTCGCATATTCTTTCTCATGTTCGGATATGTGCTATGAAAACAGACAAAGCTATTTCTGGCAACTACACAAGCTATGCAAGAAAAGAGTTCTGTATCACTTCCATTAAAGAACTTCCCCTTTCTTACCCATTCTGTGCACGCTACGGGAGTCAATTGTCAAGGTAACTCAAATCTCCTCAGATCAATGGTCTCCCTTATTGGAGCCTCTCCAGCACAGAAGTTTCCTGACTCATCTTTTTACCCTTCCTTGGAGGTCTGTAACAATTTCCTATAAATGTTTTACTACTTCTTTTAGCTACATTTTGTGTTTGTCACATTAGGTAACCCACATATGTAATCTTACTCAAAATACCACAACCTCTAACTACATCGCCACATCACTTCCCATGTTCTGAATTTGCCTCTGGTAAATTGTATACTCTGTTATTTAATATTAATATTTTAATATTAAACCATTTAACCAAGAGCCAGTCATGTTTCTACTTTAAATGTTTACTGTTTTGTTCTAAAGCATCACTTCATGTTCCTCACATTTTCACACAGATTCTCTTCATAAAAGAAAGCGAATTTCCTTTCTCTAGGCAACGCTTTCTATCTATATCATTCACTTCAACAACTTAAAAAATTACTTATCCTTTAAAAGTTGGCTAATCTCTCTCCCATCTTTCACTACCTATCCTTTTGCTAAAACAACACACATAAAATTGAATACTAAAATTACAAGACTATTTCCCTGCTAATTTCTTATACAGATACGGCCTGTCAGTTCTAGATGACTTTGGATCAGCCCCAAACAAAAGAAAATATTCTGGGTAGTATAATCCTGCATGGAACAATGCGACCTGTATAAAAAATCACTTACTGAATCACCAGTACCTCTTTCCACTCCTAGGAGATCTCCCATCGAAGCAATGCCTGAATTAGTGTAGAGTGATTTGTGGCTTTCCAGCTGTCATTCATTAATTCTTAGGAAATACAATATACAATACAATAGTACTCAGCCTGAGGTTGTAGTCTGCAATGTCTTAGGAAGAGTGCAATTTGCCTGCTGAATGTTCTTTAAAATAGTTTTCAAACAATAACCGTAGCCCATTATTTCTATAACCCCTCAAACACATTTCACTCCTGATGAAATACTGTGTCGGACGCACAGACCCATAAAGGAGGAAGGGTAAGGAATTGCGTCCATGGAGAGTCTGGTCTATGAAACAAACTGCTGAGCTGAAGACAAGAGGTTTTACTCCAGTACTTTGCCATTAGTGTTTCTTTGGCAGAGAGGAAAGCACAGGCAAGCCTGACAGCAGGGGCTAGAAGTGACCTGGGCACTCTGATCCACTGGCTTTGGCACTTTACCATCCAGCTGACCTGCAAAAGTTGCCTTGTTTTAGAAACAGTATTGCTTAGCTATAATGCACCACTAGCTGCCTCGTTTCTTTGACCAGAGACGTGACGTACCGGCCCCGTTTGAGGATCCAAGAGCCTGGGGACCTACCTTTAGAGCAAGCCAAGGAGCTGCTTGCACAAAGTCAGTCAGAGAGACTGTGTAATGCCTGCTTCATCAAGGACTTTTGGCAAAATCTATGACAAGTTCAGCTCAGCCAAAAACACCGCACTTTTAGACATGCACTGTAGCAGAACTTGAGCACATAGGGAAGTCTTCTGGTGGGTCTCAGGCACCCCTGGCTTCCCAGAAATCTGAGAAGGCTGCATAGGGATTTTTTTTTAGGTCTATTGCTCTCTTGAATTTACATGTTAGTTAGCCTGAACTGCACATTGGGTACCTAAGAGTTTTTTTCCCCTTTAACTCTTCCACAGTTGATTTAAGAAGTAAATAAAAAGATAAGAGCAGGAGGTAAACCTGAAACAAGAATCACAACAAATACTGGGGTTAACAAAGCATAGCCATCGTTCAGTGTTTAGTAGGCACCATGACAGCAATTATTTTAAGGAAGGATTTGAAAAACAATGCTTCAAGTATTTTTATGGCGAACTCCTCCCATGCTCAGGGGTTTTCATGCCTTTAGCTATTACATCTGCAACTGAAGCTAACTGTGAAATTAGCAATTTATTTATCCCATGGTACATACACACACATTTGCAACAGTAAAAGTGAGTAAGGGTCAATACTGAACACTGTGAGTAAAAGTTAGAACCTTTTTTACCAGATTTTGTCATTCAGTATTTAATCAAATACCTGCAGAGATTCCCCTATTGAAACATTTCCCTGTTCCTTCTTGTTGCTTATTTCACTAATACTGTTAGCACACTGCTGTTATTTCTGAACAACATAATACGAGCTCTGCCAAAATAACGTCAGGACAAAGGAAAGTTGACCTTAAAAATGGCTGCCTGAGTTGCAAGGAAGCAGAAGATGCCATTAAGTATAGAACAGAACAATAAAGGCCTATGATTTTTAAACAGGTTTTGATTCTGTAACATTTAGTAAAAATAGGTCTCCTTAGGAATGCATATACACATTAAGATATTTTTCAAGATTATATCATTACAAAAACTACATTAGAACTTGTAGTCGGTTTCTTGTATTGTGTCCTATTTTTAAAAATATATAAACACAAAAGGAAAAATCTCTCTTATGGAAATTAACTATTCTGATTATTTAGCCACAGATTTGAAAGAAGATTAAATAGGATATAAAGTTGCTAATCTTATTTGGAAGGTATAATTGATAAACAAAAAAGCATACTGAAGGCATGTTAACAGTGATAAAATTATCTAGACCACTGTCTGTGTACATAATTACCAATAATTCAGATTTATCCATCTGAAATCAAGATGTAATTATGTATTATTCTATTTTATATTTAGACACCTCTATAAAATAGAAATTTTAGTTTAGTGAACAATGAACGTACAGATGTTCCTAAGAAAAGCGGAATCTGAGACATCAGAAAAAAATTATATTTTAGCTCCCTCATTCATCCAAAATCAATGGAATATAATAATCACCACTGTTTCTTAGTGATTTTGTCTGGAGTTGAAGATAATAAGTAGATAAGAACTGAAATTTTCTTGCAAAAGCAACAGCAGTAATACCTGTAGACAATCCAATGTGTGAGCAATACTTTCTGAAAGTTTAGTGAGTGCCTCTTTCCATTTCTAGTAATTTCTTTAAGGCTGTAATTTTTTAAAATTGTGCATTTGAATTAAACTAAGACTACTACTATCACATCTATAAAATAAGAACCTGAGTTACCTGTATGGCTGTGAGGATATTGGCTAACGCCTGGCCATACGTGTCATGACAGTGAACAGCAAGAGCACTCAGAGGAATTTCTTTCATAACAGCTTCCAACATTCTTTTCATACTTCCAGGAGTCCCCACACCAATTGTGTCCCCCAGAGAGATTTCATAACAGCCCATACTGTACAGCCGTTTAGATACCTGATTAGAAACAGAGAAGCATGAAAAGGTCAAGATGAAAGAATATAAAATAGGGTCAAGAACATACATTAAAAAGGACACATTTCTGTACAGGTTTCAGGTTTTGACCCACCGAGGTGGACCTATGCATCAGAAACCCTCTATTCATTCTTGAAAATTGTCACCCAAGAAGAACATCCCATAGATCCTCTTATTTTAAATTTATAGTTCTGCTTCTGTACATGGAATAACCAACCAAGCCAAATCCATCAAAAACTTGCCTTTTGACTCTCCCACAGAATCCAAATAAGCAAGATTTTACACTATGAATTAAGTTTCTGTCAAGCCCTTTCCCAACATTTTCCTCCCTCTGGGGATTTCCCAGCTGTTTGGTTTTCTCCGTGTACTTTCCAGCTTACAAGTTGTGCAGGGTAAAGACCTGCCCTTTTGTTTGCTTACTACGCGGAGCCAAGAACATGGCTGAACTAAGACAATAAATAATTAACAAGAAGCCTGATTTTGCTTTCTCTTGGCACTGAAAACATCAATGAAAACTGAAGTTTTAACATGTTGTAGTTAATATTAATTTTGCTTGCTTTTCATGAAATCAAACATTAAAACGCTAACAAAGCAAAACTGTAACTTAATTAACATTCTAGTCCTTAAGTTTTAATTTTTTTCTTAATACCAAACAAAACCCTATCCAAATAGTTCTTTGCTTATGTAAGTAGAGCCCTAAATGTTTTTGGAGTTACGTCTTTGAGGAGTTCTTTGTATGAGTAAGAGATTTGAGGTCTGGCTTCATGTTTGTATGGAGAGAGACATACACTCAGAAGCACAAAATTATGTTCGCGCCAAAGGTATTGCTTTAGAAATTGAATGTAGGATCTTTCCATCTTAGTTTTGTTGAATTTATTTGGAAGGGGTTTCACCTTATTTTCAGTTGCTAAGTATGTTTGTCCCCTTTAGCCTTCCCCACTGTGTATCAGCAATCCTGAAAGACCACTCCACTGGAACAGAATCCCAAACTGGAAATTAACTGTTTAGAAATGAAAAAATACGACCCTTTTCCAAGACATCTTCAGTTGCACTGCACTCTGCTGTTAAAGCAATTCCAGGACTTCATCAGTGGGATTGCTGTGAATATGTCTGAGGAAGCTGACAAAGTGCTGCACCAGCAGTCTCGGAAGTGCTGGATTAATATTGCTGTTCACTTAATTCAAAGAACAGCTGAAAAAGAACTTCAAGTAGTCCGAATCATTCTGCTTAAAGCTTGGAAGTACTATGACTATTGTAAAGGTAGTAAAACTCTTTCTGCTTTAAAGTCAAAGAGCCCCTGGTTCACATCAACATAAATTCAATACATGCTTTTAGAAAAGGACATTCACCAGATTGCAAAAAAGATTCTATCTTGCAGCATATTTTTATATCATCAACACAGGGCAGGTGTTTTAACTGGACTACTGTTGTAAGAAAAAAAAAAATCATCTGCAGTTAGTGGTAGATTACCTCTAGTTAATCCCCAAACTTCAGTTTTTGTTTAAGATCAGGGTAAAAGAGACAGACTGCATTTTTTTGTCATGTTCTTTTTCATTCATGATTCAAAGTTTTTCTAGATGAGCATTTTAGTGATGACAAAGAGACTATATAAACTGCTAGAAATCATGTTGCATTCACTTCTTTCCCATGCTCAGTCCTTAGGTCTTTCAGCTTCTGAAAATAAAGTCCTGAAAGATGAAAGAAGAAAGGGGGAAGTTCTGCTAACAAGCTGAGCATCATCACTGACTTGTCATGATCTAACCTTAAAGTGACCCTTAAGAAGAGTTCTATATTTAATTTCAAGAAGAATGTGCATGCTTGGAAGCTGAATGAGAGTTTTTCATATTGGATTTTCTATCCTACCATAGTAGGAGGCAGCCCATTAGTTATAGTGTTGTAAGTTTTCTATGTGGATTTTTGGGAGGAGGGTGGGGGAGAAGAGAACACACTGTTTTGTCAGTGTAATCAGAATGTGATTACGAGCTTGCAGCTTTGTTGATTGAACAGGGTTGTGTTCTGCACCATTGAGCCGTTTTACTATGCATGAGTCTTGCGCTATTCCCCTCAGGAGCACTGCCCTGACACCAGGCATTGATCAAAATGGGAGTTGGTGACCCAACACTGCAACCCCTTAGGCATGTGAACAATCCTACTGCTGGAAATAATATCTAAAACTATACTCTTAAACTGAATACAAAAGGTCATAATAGAGTTACAGATGATTTTAAGCGAATAAGAACATAAAAACACACTGCAGTCCTTGTGCTGTAAGGGAAACTTTGTAATAATCCAACAGCATTCAAATAAAATAGGCAAATTTTCTGTAGCCTGATCAGCCTGTATGATGGATAATACTTACATGAATTCATTTCTCTAGGTTAAAAGGAAGCTAAGGAAAGAAAGAAGCAGGCAGAAAGATAAAAACAGCCAAGTATATGACTGGAAGACAATGGAGAACACAACTGGCTTCAAGGATGTTATATGGTGCTTCCAAAAACGTTCAAGCCTTATTTGCCTAAGGTTGAAATTCACAAACCACAGGATGATAAATGGTTAAACAGTGACTCCATTTCAAGAAAAAGCAGAGTGATAAAAAAGGACTATGCAGTTTATTTTAATAAGTGATAATTTTTTTTTTAAATAAAGAACCATGTGGAGGTACCAGATGGATTCTAGAAGTCTGAAGGCATCTGAAGTTTGCACTCACTAGATAACTGTGTAAAACAGTAATGTACCTAGTAAGCCAGAAATGCATGTAGTCTGGTTAATGAGCCACTTCTCCTAATTGGTTTTGCTTCAGTTAAAAAAATCTTTTGCTTTAAAAAAAAAAAAAAATTTGTCACTGTCATTGACTGCAGAAGAACCAGTCTAAACCTTTCAATCATAGCTGCTGATTGCAATGCACAGTCACGGGAGTCACACACTCCCATCCCAAGAAAGACGATGACCAGAAAGGCAGCTCTCTGAAAGGGTTCAGCAACAGGGCCAGTAATTTTGATAATTCTGATTCAGCAAAGGATGAGTGCATGTGTTTATGTAAAAACCATTAACAGCTAATCAGATGCTTCCATATAAACATCAGTGCTTGCTGAATCAGAGCCTCAATAAATTTAATGAGGCAGCTTTTATTCTTAAACACATGCACAATGGTGTACAGGTACACAAGAAGGCACTTAGGATGAAGACAGAAAATAAAATAATTGTGTGAGTAAAAGTTTGCAGGTTTGGAACATTAAGTAGCACTCCCACTGGCAAACTGAACAGGAGCTCTTCTGTGCAAGGAGAGTAGTTAAAAAACAAGCAACACATGGAAAGAAGCCTGTTGGGGAACATGATATTGCAGTAAGCAATTTACCAACAGCACAGCTGAATCTGTCATCACCGCTCTAACTAAAGCTGTGTCACTTCTAACTTTCACTTCGTATTAAACCCAATTAATTTAGAAATACTGAGTACTTTCCAATTTAGCTATTTTTTTCAAAGAGTGTGAGTATATGTGGCTGCTGTGGGAGAAGTATTATCACAAGTTCCATCTGGAATGTATGCTAGAAGATGCAGGAGAACAGGACCTGAAAGCAACACATGCAGAACACAATGTATCAGACAAATGTTGACTAGCTGCTAGTGCTACAAAGAAAAAAAAAAGTGGTTTGGAGATTCTGCTAGACCACCAAAAGTAGGTGATTAAGTGCAACAGAGAAGACAAGCCTTTCTCCAGGAGGAAGGCCAGCATGTTCTGCCTTGTGCCTCTTGAATTCTCTCCACTTTCTTCTCTACTGTCCGTTTCAGCTTTCACGCCCTCTTTGCCTTCCTGCAAAATTTAACACTTGCGTTTCACTCATCTCTTTCTCTGCTGGAAAAAAAGGCTGGACTAAGACATCATCTTTCCCCTCCTTTATCCTAAATGGGAAAAGGGGGCAGGGTGGGAAGGTGCAGCTTATTCCACCATAGCAGTAGAGCAAGTTGAGTAGTAGGAAATCATGTTGCGGATGAGTTTTGGTTCATGTGTCAATCACATGACACTCGCCAGAAGCACAATGTTGTAGCAGTGGCTCTCGCGGCTGACAGCGCAGTATGCTTATGCCAGCATAAAATGGATTTAAAAGCAGATACCCTTCGCAAGAGGTTGTGCTGGAAATCATCTCATACAACATGGTCCACTGACATATGTGCTGGAGTCTATTTCCTTAAGCATTTCCTTACCTTCTTGTTGGAGGAAATAGCATGTTATATTTTTCCTCATGACTCATAACAATCATAACATACTATTTTCCTTAGATTTGACTGCATGTGGTTGAGTGAGGTTATGCACCCAGTTTTAGTATTAGCTATGTTTTGTGTTTGTTTTCCTTAAATTTTATCCATTAAAGATCTTTTTAGGATTAAGTAGAGAACATTACTCATAGACATTTTAAAATGTATTTTTGATTCATTAAAAAGGCAAGCCAGAAGTTCACTCTTACTTCTGCCACTTTAGCTGGTATGATGTTTCCTTCATACGGGCATCCCAATGCACATGACACATACCTACAATAAAAAGAACACACAAAGATACTTCTGTTTCATATATGCATATCTGTATCCATCCATGTTACATTAAAAAAAAAAGGTTAAATATAATTTTGAATATTTAAGCCAGTCAATGTAGAATAAATATTTGAATGAAAAGTTAAAAACATATCCAATGAAAATAGCAGGTTTATCAATTTTCTTTTTAAATCACAGAACAGATTTATAGCTGTATTTGTGCTCAATGTATCTCACAAGTTGTAAAGGACTGGCAATGCAGCCAAGCTAATGCTGCTGCAGGAGACTTCAATTTTTCTTGGTATTTCCTTCTGAAGTTGTAAGAGCCAGCTCAGGTTTTGCCTTGCCTGGCCCACACAAGGTATTCAGAGGAAGATATCATTTTCTTCCTTGTGCCAGCTACCCGGATCACAGAGAGAGCAACACATGGACACAAGCAGCTTATAACAACCCCACCACCTCATAAGTCGTTAGAATTGTGGTGAATGGGGTAGCTTTCACCCTCTATCTCTGTACTGGCATTTCTGTCCCAGTGCCCCGTAAGAATTATAGCTTCATTGCAAGCTGTAGTTTAGGTATGCCTTGGGACAAGAAGAAACTGAGAAGCCAGACTGTGTCTCTCAGCAGCTATCGGCTCCACAAAGCACAAAAACTGAAAGCCACAACCAAGCCTCCATTGTTCAGTCTTAATGCTGTGTTAACATAGAATTTGGTTTAAATTTATTTTTTTTAATGATAATTAAGTGCCATGAAATTCGAATTAAACTTCTAATTGTTTATCTTAAATTGATTAGGAATAGGATTAAACTAACCAGAAACAGCCATTCAAAATCAAAATAAGTGTGGCTGTAGAGGGATTTACAACAGATTCAGAGGCAGGCAGAGCCCAAGTCCCAGTGGGAGGTTGCTCAACTGCTTAATAGAAGAACAAGAGCCTTCGTCGATCCCCCATTATTCCCTTTCCCTCAACACTGAAGGATATAATGTAAAATTATACACCATATAATGCAAACGGGATTGAACAGATGCCATTTTGTAGGTAGTCAAGGTCCGTAGGGTAAAGGATGTATTGTTTCTTTGCGGTTGAAGGAGAAACTGATTGATAGAATGTGAAACTAGGATGAGTAACAGGTAAAAACAAATTGTGAAAAAAATGTCAACATTTTAATGCGTAGGTATGGTGTTGGCACACTGGAAGTAGCAGTAAGAATGAAGCAAACCTTGAACCTGAAAAGAACTTGATTAGCCCTGACAAAGAAATAGAAATGGATTTTGTTTCCACAAAAGTGGTTGGGTCCATTACATCCTGCTCATAATTTTAGTCCAGATGCCTACTAGGCATGATTTCAATTATCTGTATGTCATTATGAAAACCAGCTTTTTGAAACTTGGCCATAGACTTCATTAAATATCACCCCCAATTTAGATGTCACTGTTTAAGTTTCAAAATTCTAAATTTCCTTATCTACATTAAAGATAAAAAAAGTACCTATTGTTAACAGTTAACCATTGCCCTGCTTTTCAGTGACACATAACTCAAAAACAATTCAGGATAATTTCCTTAATTTTTTTAATGCATACACAGTTTTTCAAATGAAACCAAGCATGAAAAATTTCAGACCCAAAGGATTGCTTTTTACATAATACTACAGTGCCTAGAGCTAGTGAATACCCAGACTTTTTCTGAAATTATTTTGCAACATCAGCCACAGCACTTTATATAAAGTGAGCAAGAACAGTACTAAATACAAAGTAAATGCAAAACACACAGTACGTATGTGCACATTCCCTTTAATTACATATATCTTTCCATATTCCTAACAGCTACATATGTTAGATCAAGAAGACGTGCATTTGGTAGTGATAATGTGGCATGAATGACATCTGGAATGGAGTAGAGCAAACAAAAGTAAAAGCAGGCCAAAAGGTATCTAGAGAACAAGGGAATACTCCCTGTGGTTCACACCAGCGAGCAGAAACTCGCCTGAGCTCACATAATTCAGCTGGGCCTGCTGGGGTATGAAAGTATGTGGTGACCTGAGGAATCTGCCTACTACAATGTACAAATCTGTTTGAGATTATGAACTCTCTGCATGCTTACACCATTGCGACCAGACTGACTTTTTAAACAAGGAAAATATGATAGATATAATCTATCTGGGCATCTGATACTCAATATTAAACTGGAGAAAATAGGGATTACTGACAGAATTTGACAGGTAAAGAACTTCCTACCAGAGAGAGAACAAAGTCCTGTGGAGAATGAAAGAACTGTTTTTCAGTAGAGTTCATCAAGTTTGAGCTTGAAAGAATTTTATCTAATATTTTCATTTAATGAATTGGCATAAAAAGTAGAGATGTGGTGATAACATTAAATTTCTTGGTACTGTCAATACAAAAAAAAAGCACTGGGATTCCATGCAGAAAGGACAGGAGCAATAGAAATGGGACTCAGTTGATGGCAATGACAAAGAAAGTGAAATGCTTAAAATGAGGCTGTAAAAGCGTAAAATGCACTCCAAACATATATCAGGATAAGCATTTTTAACAGAGAACATAAAATATGAATTCCATTTGACAAGGTCTTGCTATATTCTTATTGGAAATAAGAGATACAATTTGAGTCATCTGTAGAAAAAGTAATGCAAGCTGGAACAGATGCATGCAAGGGCTGAGTACAGCTAGCAGGGGTACAGAGAGCCTAGCATATGAAAGGAGAAAATATGCATGTCTATGTGAAAGAGGGAAGATAATCATGTGTCTGGTCTGAGCATCTGCCAAGACATCTAGACTTAAGGCAGCGCCGGGTGGGATGCTTTGCAATTGCGTTTGCGTGGTTCCAAATTAATAAGCTTAAGTGAGAGGAAATCGGTTTCAATAGGAAGGTAGAACTGTTATCTACAGATAAGTTTGGCTGTTACAGGCATTAAAAGCACAAGAGAATCCAGCAAAGCAGAGCCCCAAGACCTCCACCCGCACCCCTCCAAAATGGGAGACAACTTTGAAGAACATGCTGAAGAACTGCTTAGAAAGAAGAAAATTAACAAGACAGAGCCACAAAAAGCAACAAAAGACACAAATTTAAAGAAGAGTCTGGTCAACTGCAGCAAACACTACTGACAAGTCAAGAAGAATGAGGATAGACTACTGTTTCTGAGATCTTGTCATCAGGGAGTTTGGTGAGAGCTGTTGCAGTTGCAAGCAAGAAACAGAAGCCAAAGTGTAGGAGTTCTAGGAGGGAATCACAGAAGAGGGTCTCCAGACAGTAATTATAAACAGCGCCTTCAATGAGCTTAGGAATGAAGAAGAGATAGGCGATGAGATATGATATGAAGAACCAAGTAGGGTCAAAGGTGCAATTTTTAAGAGGCAAATGCTTGCTTATATTGCAGTGGAAAAGAGCCAAAGGACAATGAGAGGTTAAGAAAGAGAATAAGGGAGGGGAGAAATAAGAGGAAGGACAGAACATGGGGTCACTGGGGCAAGTGGAAGGGGTACAGATGGAAAGTAGACAAGAAACTCCTGCTGCTCTGGCAGTGGAGGAGAATGAGAAAGGATTAGGGGAGGGAAGGGAGAAGAGAGTGACGGAAGGAAGAGCATACTGTATCTATTTTTCCTTAGGAGGAAAAGCAAGATCCTATGTGAACAAAAGCAGCAGAGGGAAAAAAGGGAAGAGTTTGAGCAATGAGTTACAGGGGCAACTGGGATTTAATTTGGGGATTCAATTAAGTTGGAGAATACAGCTGTTTTCTAAAAAGATGGCAGGACTGAAAGAAAAAAAGACTTTGTAATGAAAAAGACTGTCTTGGTCTCAGGATATTCACCAGAGACACTCCACAGTATGAGAGCAGAAGCAAATATCTGGGAGTTCACAAAGCAGACTCTGCAATGGAAGTGTTTAATTCTAAGTATGTGCTTAAATCTTTGCTGAATCAAGGCCAGACGTTTTAGTAGCTTAACTACATCTTTAGCATGCAATCAAGAAAAGAGCCCATGCAAGCAGAGGTGGAAAGAAAGACCTACAATAAGTGAATGTACCTATACAGCTGCTTTAGGAACACACGGGTAAATGGTGTTTTGTTCACTCAGGTTCTGTGAAATCAGAATTCCTGCCTTCAATAAAAAGTGATAAAAAGAAGTTCTCTACTTGTTTCACCTGGCAGAGTTTACCCAGTCTCTTGCCTGTTCTACAGATTTCACTGCAGGTGAGTATCATTTGGTCTTCTCCTAAATTGTTTTCTATGCATATAAAAACAATTAAAAAAATAAACCCCAACAACTTTACTATGTAATATTTTGGACAAAAATGCTGAACAGCCTCTGGGGATAGAGAAGGAAGAGGAAGAGAGTTTTCAATTTCTTCCAGTAAGCCAAAACCAAATTGCAATGTTCCACAAATGGTATAGACAGCATAAGGTCCCCACGATCAAGGTGACTAGGAATGGTGATAATCACCACACCAGCCCTATGGCTGTGAAGTGCAGGATATAAAACCACAAACAGGGTAAATGAGCAAACTTTTCATAACCAAAGTGTGTTAAAAGGAAAATGAATCCAAGCAGAAACTGAACTTCATGTTGTAATCAGCCCTTTGTCAGCTTGTTTCAGCAAGAGTTCCAGAGCCAGATCCACAGCTGCTACCACAGCTGGAAGCGCAGAGCCTCCTGAGAAGCCAGTTGCAGACTCAGATGCTGCTGTTTCCTGTTTATTATTATAGTGTAAGTTCGCATATAATTTACCATGTTCACTGCAGATGTATTTATTTTTATTGGATGTTCGTGCTAAAATGTATGTGCCTATCATTTGGTGAATTCATAATATTAAGGTTGATATATTCTGTCTCTTTGCAAAGGAAGCCATTTGTTAAAAACAGGCAATCTTTACTGTAAGGAGAGGGAAAATACAAAGAGAAGAGGGAAAGGAGATTCTTCCAGAAACAGAATCGCTAAGCCAAGCCCAAAATGTGTAAATAAGGCCAGGATTTTTTTTCCACATTTGAT